AAGCCATTAACAAATCTATAAGAGATTAGTCATACCCGGGGCAAGGTGTATCCCTTGATGGTAATCCCATCTAGAGCAAATCTCATCTTCCTTTCTAATGCAGAGAACTAGCTGTTAGGTATGGGGAAGGAGCTAAAGAACTTCTCCATAAGGAGTGCACCACCACACCCAGAATAGGCTAAAGAACCTTTCAGATGCAGAGCAGGGATTGGACTTTACTAATTGGGATCAAGATGTTTCTTGAAGTCCATCAGATGTGTCTGTTGGAACGCCCCTAGTAATTTCCACCCTTGCTCTGTCTGCAGCCAAGGTCAGGGAAAGACAAGTTACAAGGTTCTGCCAAACCCCAAAAGAGCATGTGGTGTTTGCTCAGCGCATGTCCCCACATCATCCTGTCAGGATGTGAGCATGCACATATGCCCAGCTTGTTTTTCACCAGGACTCAACCCACAGTCAGCCATTTGGGATCCAACTCTCTTAACCAGTAGGTTATGGAGCCGCCTTAAAGGTTTTTTTGTTTTTGTTTTTGTTTTTTGATTTAAAAATAATCCCTAAAAACACAATTGTGGCCAGTATGTGGCATAGTGGTTAAGGGCATATGGTGGTTAATGGCCAACCACGGTTGGGTTCGAGTTCCGGACCTGGCAGCTTGCTTTCTCACTCTCTCTCTCTCTTTCACTCTGTCCCTCTCTGATCAAATTAAAACAAATAAATAAGTAAAGTTAAATAAAATAATTCTAAAACAACAACAATCTCAGGGAATGATGAAACTACTAGAGAGGATATCTTTGGTGCTCTGTGTCCCAGCTTGTAGAATATGTGTATCTCAGATCCCTCCTCTTCCATATCCTCAAGCACTTAGTTTTTCCCAAGTGATTGGTTTCCAGAAATGTGCGTTATTTAATTATGTGCCTAAAACTCTCTGAAATTCTTGGATATTGTCCAAAGCATCTGGCCTCAGGCATACAGTTTCTCCAGAGGAATGTGACACTGGAATGAGTCTGGAGAGAAAGGACACTGGGACCACATTTCTCTCCCTTTGAGGATCGTCATTTTTAGTCTTTAAGGAAAGACTCCCTTCATTCTGAGAGGTTAGGTTACCTGGAAGCATAGTTTTCAAAACAGTCACAAGAGGTCTGGGTACAAAAGCAGCTTCATTCTTACTCTGGTGGGCCCGCTCTTGGCTCAGTTACCAGAACTTGGAACTGTGGAAGAAGTTACCAAGGTAAGTGCTTACCATGAGTTTCTTGTCCTAGTTACAGCTGATGATGGAAATTTGAGAAGATCAACTCTTTCAGCTGCTACAATGACAATTTCTGTAATTTTATTAGAGCACCAGTAAGCATGATCAGACAGCCTGGACAAACAACTGTATAAACAGAGTAGATGGTGGTTTATAAAAATATTGAGTTGTCAGGAAAGTAATATTTTTTTCTATGTAAAAATGCATCATGACTTTTCTGATAACCCATTACATTGTTTGCCAACTACTAAGGATATGGGTAAAACCAAAGGGTTTTTTCCAGGGCTGGCAGGTGGCATGGTGGTTGAGGCCCTGGACTCCTACATGATTGACCACAGTTTGAGTCCTGGATCTGGCAGCTTGCTTTTCCACTTTCTCTCTCTCTGGTCAAATTAAAATAATAATAATAATTATAATGGTAATGAATAAAGTTAAATAAATAATTCTTTTAAAAAGGGGGCATTCCTAAATTATTTTTTCTTTTTTAACCACCATGCCACTATTAGTCCCAGGAAGAATTTTTGTTGTTGTTGTTGGTTTTTTCCATAGGGCATACGTGCTTTCCAGAGAAAGACAGAGAGAGGGAAATTATTAAATCATCCCTGGGGGGTGGGGTGGGGGGTGGTCATGTCACCATCTCTTCTCCTCCATTCTCCTCTCAGAATTTTGGGCTCCCACACACGCATCTGGTGTGATTTTCAATCCACTGGGTCTGGGACTCGAACCATAGTCAGCCCCATGGGAATCCAATGTCCTAACCACCATGCTAGCTGCTGGCCCCTTTTTCCTACTTTCTCATACAGTCACTTAACTCAACACTTGTAATGCCAAATATGTGGTGTTTTTCCCTACTTTTTTACAATCAATTCTGCAGTATGTACCGCTATCTACCTGGAGATAGCATCAGATTCCATAGACTGTCCCCACTTCGGATGCCAATCACAAGCCCCAGGTTGTGACCTGTGGTTCTGACCAACCAGCTATAAACTAGTTTCACTAATTTGGCTACAGTGGCTCACAGAACTCAGGAAGACATTTTACTTATTTAATTATCCATTCATTATTTTTTGAGAGGTTTCTGCTATAGGGCGCGTGTGTTCACCAGAAAGACAGAGAGTCATAGAGACAGAAAGTGAGAAATCACCCCCAGGGGGATGGCCATGCTGCAATCCCTTCTCCTTCATTCTCTTCTCGCGATCTTGGGCACGCACACACACATGCCTCACATGAGTTTAAGCCACTGGGTCTGGGACTCAAACAGCGGTCAACTACATGGGAGTCCAGTGACATAGCCATTATGCCAACTGCTGGTCCCATATCCATTAATTATAAAGGATATTACAAAAGTTGTAGATTAATAGCCAGATGGAAGAGATGCATAGGGGCAAAGCTTGTGAGAAAGGGGGCTGAACTTCCATACCCTCTCTGGGTTGTCTCTGTGTGTCCAGCTATCTAAATAGCCCGTGAAGCCTGCCCTTTTGTTTTTTCTATGAAGGCTTCATTACGTGGGTGTGATCAATTAAATCATTCGCCATTGGCGATCAGCTCAACCTTCATTCCTTTCCCCCCGTTCCCCCCTCCCTGGGTCATGGAGTGAGACTGAAATGCCAACCCTTTAATCACACAGTTAGATTCCCTGGCATACAGACAGCCATCCTGAGGCTATCCAGGAGACCCCAGCTACCAGCCATCTGATTGACATGTAAAAAGATACACATCTGTTTGAAGATTCCAAGTATTTTAGAATCTGTTTACCAGGAGCCAAAGGCAGACACCAAATATGTATTTCTATTATATCATGACGTTACACTACAGTACACAACAGTGCAATAATGTTGCCTCTATTTAGAAGACTAGTATGTAAATCTTTGTGAAAATAAGAATGCCAACTTATTGTGTATTTTAGTGAAAAGTAGGTCATGTAGACAACTAACTGAGCAGCCTGCCTCTGGCTGATTTAAATGAACTTAATCTTATTTATTTATTTACTTATTTATTTTAAAGCAAGATTTTTGCTATAGGGTACATGTACTCACTGACGAGACAGAGCAAGTAAGCAAGAAATCACTGCTCAGGGGGATGGCCACAGTACAATCCCTTCTCCTCCATTCTCCTTTGGGGATCTTGGGTATGCACACACATGCACACATCGTGAGTTTTAAGCCGCTGAGTCCAGGACTCAAACCGCGGTTGAGTCCAGCAATGTAACCACCATGTCATCTGCTGGTCCCTAAATGACTGTCTTTTACCCAGTCATAGTGGCACAGGCAGTAGGAGCACTGCTGTGTGATGCTGGAGACCATATGGAAAGGGTCCTTATTTGCCTTCCGGGTCTTCCTTAACACATCAGCATTCCTGTAATCCTGGCTGGTTGTAAGACCTATAGGACTGTGGCATGAAGACCTTGTCAAGGGAGCCTGTTTCTCTTTCTCTCTCAATAAGTAATTTTATTTATTTATTTAAAATTATTTATTTCATTTATTATTATTAATTTTTAAAATTTGCTATAAGAGCACATCTGCTCACCAGAGAAAGACCGGGGGTGGGGGTAGGGGAGGGTAGTGAGAAAGCAAGCCACCAGGTTCAGACTTAAATTGTGGTCGGCCATGTGAGTCTCGCGCCTTAACCACCATGCCACCTGATGGCCCAAATAAATTTTAAATGCCTCTCTCTCTTTTTTTAAGTTTTGTTTGAGAACCTGTGCCCTAGCTGGAGAGAGAGAGAGAGAAAGAGAGAGAGAGGGAAAGTGAGAAAGCACCCCTCCCCCACCAGAATCTCTTCTCATTCTTCTGTTGGGATTTTGAGCATGCACACACAAACACTCAGCATGACTTGTGAGAATCTAGCACCTTAACACCCATGCCACTTGTTGGCCCCTAAAGGTGTATCCTCAAAGCCAGGAAGTGAAAGGGAAAACAGAGCATAGTCATCCATCCGTGAAACAGAGTGTAGACTCAGCTATTTCAGGAACAGATGCTTCCAGCTCCTCCTCTCAAAGGAGTCTTCTCTGACCTCTATGATGAACAGGTCAGCTGTGTTTCCTTGTATTGATACCACTCTATGTTTTTGGCCAAAGAAAATTCCACCCTGCTACCAGGAGTTGAACAGCAAACATTAGGTGATCATTCTCTCACAGTAATGGAAAAAGTCAACCAGTTTAAAAGCTTATCTATGGCCCAAAGTATTAACTTAAAAGCTCTAGAAAATACACAAAGCTTAACAATGGGTACATTTTTTACTTTTTTGTGTTGTATACCTTGGAGTCTTCTACAACAAGCATATGTTACATTAGTAAAATTAATGACAAATAAAACATAGTCAACAGTTACCTAAAATACACCATTAATGCCAAATACATAACTTTAATATTATCCAGGGGACAAGTGATTCACATAAAGTCATTGGAACTAGAATCTGCCTGTGACCATCTCAAGCCAACAACAGACAAAAACATTACAATTTGGGGGAAGTTTTCTTCTCGGTACCTCCCAAGTGTTTGCGGAAGAAGGATAGTATTTGATTCCAGGCATCTATCTGGGCCTTAGCATGAGCCCTGGGCTCCCCACCCCACATCACAGGTTTGTTTAGTAATTTGTGAAGGGAAGCAGGGCACATGGGGAAGTAAGGCGGCTCAATGTAATGCCCAGTCCCAGGGTAAGCGATGATCTGGGGCTTTCCCTTTCCATGGGCCTGTAACCGCTCAGATGCTGTTTGAGCATACACCTCACTTCTCCAGTTATGGTCTTCCTGACCAACAATGAAGAGGATGGGCCCCTGGGCCTTCTCTATCGGAATCATGCTGGGGTGCTCACACCCTCCTATGATGTCATTCCGTATGTCTACAATGTCCAGCAGACCTGAGAAAGCTACCTTGATTCTCCTCAGGTCATGGCCCAATGGTGGGATGCTAGTCTCCTTGTAGTGTATGGCTCTGCTTCCACTGAACACAGATCCATTGATAGAAACTGTAGCTGAGACATTCTTCAAGAATGAAGCCATCAAGAGACAAATATCAGCCCCTAGAGAAATGCCCAGAAGCCCAATGCCTGGGCCCTTTATCTGGAAGACAAGAAGAGTGAAAAATCAAAAGTCAAGAAGTTATCCAATATAAAAAATGTTTTCCTAGGAATGCTATTGGGTTGTTGGAAAAGTCACGGCATATTTTTTCTGCTTTTCTATGCAAAAATGCATCATGACTTCTCTGACAACCTAGTAACTTTAATCTGAATCACCCACAAGGGAATTAATCTCAGCTGACAAGGAAGTTTCTCAATACATGACTGAACACATGGCAAACAAATTTAAACTCACTGGGAATTTGGGACCTGGTTATAAATGTTCCTGAGAATTGTCCACTGGAGAATGCTAAGCCATGGGGCCTATCAAATTTAGAGTCTTATTCAAGTGGGCCTGATCCAAGTCTTCCTTTTTTTTTTAAGAATTACTTATTTCATTTTATTTATTATTATTTTTTTTGTTATTATATTTTAATTTGCCATAGGGCACATGCATTCACCAGAGAGAAAGAGAAGGAAAATGAGAAAGCAAGTCTGGGACTCAAACTGCAGTCGGCCATGGGGGAGTCCAGTGCCTCAACCACCATGTCACCTGCTGTCCCCGATCTAAGTCTTAATGTGGCCGGGTATCTAATTGTATGAAACCAAGCTCTGCTTCAATAAGTGAATCATTTATCAGACCTCATCCAAATATATCAGCAAATAATTAACTTTATAGAAATAAAGACTTCAAAGGTCAATGAAGTAGTTCTTACGCTCTGTAAGGAGTGAGCAAGTTTTGATCAAAATCTAGAACATATCTGATATCAGAAAATTAAAGATTGGGCCAGCAGACGGCATGGAGGTTAAGGCACTGGATCCCATGTGGCTAACTGTGTGGTTTGCATCCTGGACCAAGTGGCTGGAAAATCACACCAGGTGCATGTGCATGAGTGCCTCAAGTCCTGAGAGGAGAATAGAGAAGGTACTGTAGCATGGCCATCCACCGTGGGGATGGTTTCTCAAGTTCCTCCTCTCTCTCTGAAGAATGCACATGCCCTGTAGTAAAAACTAAAAAAGGGGACTGGCAGGTGGCATGGAGGCTAAGGGTGCTGGACTCCCACATGGCCAACCGTGGTTCAAGTCCCAGATCTGGCAGATTTCTTTCTCTCTTTCTGTCTCTCTCTCTCTCTGTCTCTCTCTCTCTCTCATTCTGTCCCTCTCTGGTCAAATTAAAATGAATGAAGTCAAATAAGATAATTCTTTTTAAAAAAACTAAAAAGGGGGAACCAGCAGTTAGCGTAATGGCTATGTTGCTGGACTCCCACGTAGTCGACTGCGGTTCGTGTCCCGGACCCGGTGGCTTAAAACTCACACCGGACGCGTGTGTGTGCATGCCCAAGATCCCGAGAGGAGAATGGAGGAAAAGCGATTGAGGCATGACCATCCCCCCTGGGGGGGTGATTTCTCGCTTTCTGTCTCTATGTCTCTCTCTCTCTCTCTGTTTGGTGAGTGCACGTGCCCTATAGCGAAAATCTCTCCAAAAAAAAAAAAAAAGAAAGAAAGAAAGAAAAAAAAAACTAAAAAGGAAAAAAATAAGGAAAATTCAAGATTAAAAAACAAGCATGCAGTGTTGGCAGGTAGCATGGTAGTTAAGAGTGGTCAGCCACATGGTCAACTGTGGTTCAAGTCCTGGACCTGGTGGTTTGCTTTCTCACTTTCTCTCTCTCTCTCTGGTCAAAATTAAAAATAATAAATTAAATAAAATGCAATAATTCTTTAAAAAAATAATGCAAAGAGCCAGATGGAGATGCAGTAGTGACACAACAGGGTCCACATAGGAAGATCCCAGGATCGTGTCCAACAGACCTCCCTGTACACACGGGGAGTACATGAGCCCATGCCTGTGATTCAATTTGGCTAAAAATGGGAGTAGATCACAATGTGAGGACCCTCTTGGGGGTGTCTATCTCTCTCTCTTTCTCAATGAAGAAATAAATAAAAAAAATTTTGAGAGGTTTTTGCTATAGTGCATGTGTACTCGCCAGAAAGACAGACAGAGACAGAAAGCGAGAAATCACCCCCCAGGGGGATGGCCACACCGCAATCCCTTCTCTTCCATTCTCCTCTTGGGATCTTGGGCATGCACGCACATGTGCCCAGCGTGAGTTTAAGCCACCAGGTCCGGGACTCGAACCACGGTCGACTACATGGGAGTCCAGCGACATAGCCATTACACTAACTGCTGATGCCAGAAATAAATAAATTTAACAAACAAAATAAGCATGCAAAGATAACCAGAAGTCCAATTTACATTACAAAAGGAAATTTTTAATTACCACATAAAATCTCACAAGGATTTTACACTTATTTATACATCATGAGTCCATCTGAAAGAAAGCATGAATAACAGGCACCTTAGGCCAAAGAAGTGTCCAAAAGAAATTAAATATCTGTTGTAAAAAAGAACAAAGCAACATCACCACATGGGTACAGGTGACACCACTATGAAGATATCTCTAGAGAGACTGATTAAATTGACAATATGAGGAGTGGAGGAACCAGTAGATGGTTTAATGGTTACGTGGCTGGACTCCCACGTAGTCGACTGCAGTTCAAGTCCCAGACTCAGCACCTTAAAACTCACATTGGATGTGTCTATGTGCATACCCAAAGTCCTGAGGGGAGAATGGAGAAGTGATTGCAGCATGGCCATCCCCCCTGTGGGTGATTTCTTGCTTTCTGTCTCTCTGATGAAGTCATGTGCCCTATAGCAAAAAAATCTCTCTTAAAAAAAAAAAAAAAAAAAAGGATATGAGGAGCAGGCCAACAGGGGGCAGGGAAGTTAAGGCAGTTGGATCTCACATGGCCTACTCTGCACTGAAGAGTCCTGAACCTGGCTGCTTGAAAATCATGCCAGGCAGGTATGCATGAGTGCCCAAAATCCTGAGAGGAGAATGCAGATGGGATTGCAGTGTCACGGCCATCTTCCCTGGAGGGTGATTTGTCACTTTCTTTCTCTCCGTCTCTGTCACTCTCCAGCAAACACATGCACCCTATAGCAAATTAAAAAGAAAAAAAGAATATGAGGAGTACCTGGGGGTGCTGAAGCATGTAGCACAGAGCTTCTTCAAAGTAGTCCAGATGTAAGTCATCCATTTCTTTTGGGAGATCTTCAAAGTCATAATAAGCCAGAGCCAATGCTGCAAAGCCATGGCCAGCCAAGAGACCAGCTCGGTATTCCAACAGGCCTCCTCCAACACCAAAGATGTCAATGATCCCTGGGAAGGGTCCAGGTCCTGGAGAAGACAATATTATAAATGAAAGGCATTACACAAATTAAAGATTTTGTTTTCTTTTCAGACACCCTTATAAATGATTTAGTAGGTTCCTATGAATCAAAAGAAAAAGAACAGATCTGAGTGCCCACTGACAAGGAGTACTTTAAAAAAAATAATTTAATTTTATTTATTCATTCATTTATTTTAATTTGACCAGAGAGAGAGAGAGAGAGGAAAAGTAAGAAAGCAAGCCACCAGGTTCGGGACTTGAAATGTGGTTGGATATGTGGGAGTGTCCAGCGCCTTAACTCCCATGCCATACACTGGCCCAGAAGAAGGGTACTTTTTACCACTCTCCTTGGAGGAAGACAAATCTAAACTATAGAGTACTTCCTCATTGGTGATTTGATCTTTCATATAAGTCTACAATAAATTATCTGCCAGGTTCTCAGAATCTTGTTGTAAAGGAAAGTAACAAAGCCTTTCATTAAGGAATACACCACCAGAAGGAATTTCATGTTTTAGATGGTGTTGACTTAAAGTGCTCTACTGGAGGATGGTAAGATAATTAGAAATCTGGGGGGAAAAAAAAGCTTTATGCTGTGTTCTATCAACCCTCTGGTTGTTGTGTGCTGACAATTCAGATGTCTATTAGAGAGACAGGAAAGAAAAAAAAAAACCACCCAGAAATGGCTTCAGGAGTGGAAGGCAGTGAAGTCTGAAGTGTGATCTCTGCTAGACCCACATATGCAGTGAAGGGGTCCACTGTGCCCAGAACAGTGGAGAAGGGCAGCATGGCAATAGCCTTGACTGTCACTATTCTGCTTACAACCAGCAGGCAGGTGCCTGTAGAGATCTTCAGGCTGTGATTAATAGTGAAGCAGTCAACGCTCTACAACCCCTCAGCTTTCTTCACCTGCAGAATAACAGTGTGCACCTCACTAGGATATTATACAGATAATGAGATAATGCAAGTACCAGGGGACTTCAATAAATTTATGGAAAGAAGAAATTAAAGTATGAGTTTACATCATTGAAAAACAACCTGGAAATTCATGCACAGTTTTTCCATAATAGCCACTTCTCTTAATTTTTTTTTTTTAATAAAGATTTTTGCTATAGGCTGAGTGTGATTGCTGGAAAAAGACACAATTCCTTCTCCTCCATTCTCCTCTAGGATCTTTGGCACACACGTACACGCGCCCAGTGTGAGTTTAAGCCACTGGTTCAGGACTAGAACCACGGTCTCCTACGTGGGAGTCCAGCGATGTAACCATTACACCATCTGCTGGGTCCCTCCATGAACTTTATAAACACCCCTTGTAAAACCTGCAGTACAGAGCCTAATATCAAAAAACTCCATTTTGGGACCAGCAGTTAGCGTGATGGCTATGTCGCTGGACTCCAAAGTAGTCGACTGCGGTTTGAGTACGGACTCGGCGGCTTAAACTCATGCCGGGCACGTGTGTGTGCGTGTCCAAGATCCTGAGAGGAGAATGGAGGAGAAGAGATTGCGGCGTGGCCATTCCCCCTGGGGGCGGGGTGGGGTGTGATTTCTCGCTTTCTCTTTCTTTCTGGCGAGGTACGCGCCCTATAGCAAAAAAAAAAAAAAAAAAATCCCCTCCATTTTAATTGGGCGACCCTGGACATAGGTCAGCTTCTGTGACCCCCAGCAGCAGCCGCCGCACCCCGGGTCGCAGGAAGTGGCGTTCGTGCTCCGCCCGGCACAGCAGCCGCCCGGCCTCGGGGTCGTGGCCGTCCAGCACCTCCAGCTCCACCACGAACGGCGTGCGCACGTCCCGCTTTAGGAAACGCCAAAAAGGCTTCTCTGGCTCGAGCGCCCAGAGCAGTCCCATGGGCTCGAGCCCCACGAAGCTGCCCCCCAGCGCGGGCGCGCGCGCCAGGTCCAGCTCGCCGTTGACGTCCGCGCGGTAGCGCGCGTGAGCCCGGAAGAGCACGCCCTTCTCGTCGCGCAGGGACGCGCGCAACGTGACCAGCTGCCCCGGAGCCAGGCCGCGCACGGCCATGCGCACCGGCTCGTCCCAGGCGCAGCGGCCCGCGGGCTCCAGGCTCACCCACGCCGCCATCTCAGGCCGGGAGCGGAGAAGCGGGAGGCGGAGGCCCAAGTCTAGTCCTAGAGCCTTGTCAGGGAACTCCCGGCACTTGGAGTCGTCCTCGGAGGCGTCTGGGCGCTTCAGACTTGGAGAGCCGGCGTTCCACTCCGCTCCGGACCGGTATGAGGCAAAAGGAACCAAGCCCAGGGCGGGGCGAACAGGGGTGCCCAGAGCCCTGGGTGTGGTGGTGAACCTGCCCCGAGGACATGTCCCTGCCTGACAGCATTCCCGCTTGGAATGAACGTTGTTTACTGATTGATTGCTGGTGAAACCATTTGTGAATGAGAAAGATCAAGCCAAATTCTTGTCCCTCTATGACTTCATGGTAATTTTTAACTTCTAGTGAAGTTAACTTACATACTAAGTGCAGATGTTACTCATACAGTTCAGTGAACTTTCACAAGGCAAACATACATACATACATTGCACGCGTATCTTATGACCAAGCACACAGATCCAGAAACAGGCCAGAAGCCACCTCATTCCAGGTATTTGTCCCAAAGGTGCTCTATCCTGAGTCCAACACCATGGGTTAGTTTTTCTTTGCACTTTATTGAAATGAATCCTACAGTATGTCTTCATATAGTATCTTTCTTCTTTTTCTTCTTCTTCCTCTTTTTTTAGGTTTTGCCATAGGGCAGGTATGCTCACCAGAGAGAGACAAAGGAAAGTGAGAAATTCCCTCCCCCGGTGGGGATGGCAGCACTACGATCCCTTCTCCTCCATTCTTCTCTCAGGATTTTGGACATGTGTGCACACATGCTCAGTATGATTTTTTTTTTTTTGGAGAGGTTTTCGCTATAGGGTGTGTGCGCTCACCAGACAGACAGAGACATAGAGACAGAAAGCGAGAAATCACCCCCCAGGGGGGATGGTCACGCCGCAATCCCTTCTCCTCCATTCTCCTCTCGGGATCTTGGGCACGCACGGGTGCGTGAGTTTTAAGCCACCGGGTCCGGGACGCAAACCACGGTTGACTACGTGGGAGTCCAGCGACATAGCCATTACGCTAACTGCTGGTTCCCAGTATGATTTTTTTAAAGAGATTTTTCTTATAGGACACATGAAAGACAGAGAGACAGAGAGATAGAAAGCAAGAAATCATCCCCTCAGGAGAGATGTGCCTGGCATGCGTTTTAAGCTACCAGGTCCAGGACTTGAACTGTGATCAACCATGTGGGAGTCCAGTGATGAAACCATTACGCTATCTGCTGGTCCCTCCCAGCATGATTTTCAAGCCACCATGTCCTGGACTTGAATTGTGATCAGCCATGTTGGAGTCCAACCACTTTAACCACCATGGCACCAGCTGGCCCCAGTTTGGGAAATTCTTATTCAGCGGAGGGGAAACTGAGTTCCTATCCCTTTTTAGGGGGTCCCTGCTCTGTTTTAGTGCTGAACCAACATGTTTTAAACATGTTTTAATCACTAGAGCATAATAATTAGTCTTGGTTTCTTGTCAGGCAAGTATCTTATTCATTACCTCCTTGAACCTGATCTGTCCTTTTTAGAATTGTCTTATACACCGCAGGACCAGCAGTTAGCGTAATGGCTATGTCGCTGGACTCCCACGTAGCCGACCGTGATTTGAGTTCCGGACCCGGTGGCTTAAAACTCACACCGGGCGCGTGTGCGTGGGTGCCCAAGAGGCCATCCCCCTAGGGGATGATTTCTCGCTTTCTGTCTCTCTGTCTCTCTCTGTCTGTCTGGCGAGCGTACACACCCTATAGCAAAAACCTCTAAAGAAAAAAAAAAAGATTTGTCTTATACACTAAACTTTTATTTTATTTTATTTTTATTTTCTTTAAATTTTTTTACATTAATTCACTATACATCATTACAGCATACAAAATGAATTTTCCATCCAAAATACACTGTATATTGGTTCAATCAAGCACATCACCAAACTTTTATTTTGATTGCAGACACATACTCCAACACACGTGGACTTGCTCGCTTAGAAATATGAGATTATACTATATACATTTTTGCAACTTGACTTTTTTCCCCATAGCAGACATCCCAGACATCCTAACATCCTTCTACTTAACCTCACTTTTAACAGTTATGAGTTATGTGAAAGTTATAGACATACCATACTTCCATTCTCTACTGATGGGACATTTAGGTTTGCAGTGGGCCAATAGTAGGACTGGTGTGCAGGTGGTAAAAGAATTGACCAGAGACAGAAATGTGAGCATGAGCAGAAGTTAAGTTTATGGGAGCCAGCAGATGGTGTGGTGATTGGGGCGCTGTGAGTCCTGGACCTGGCGAGGGAGAGTGCCTGGGAGAGACACAAGAGAACATGAGACCTGAGCATGTTCACAGGTTCCTGCCTCAGGAGGGTCTCTTTTACATTCTTGACCTTAGGGGAGGGTAAAGAGAAACACTGCAAGCCCTGCCTGGATGGGGCTGGGGGCTGGTCCCTTCTCAGAATGCAGAGCATCTATCAGCCCCAGAGATTGCTGGAGGTGACACCAGAGGGAGGTCCCAAACATCTGTTTCCCCTGTTGTAAAAGCTTATCCTGGCTCCTTTCATTAACCGGAGCAAATTAACTTATTTCCTTAGGTAAGGCTCATCTTGGGCCCTCTTTTCTTAATCCTTGCTTTCCTATTTTCTTTTTTTTTTCTTTCTTTTTTTAAGAATTATTTCATTTTGAGGGCCAGTGGCATGGTGGTTAGGTGTTGGACTCTCACATGGCCAACCACAGAGTCCCAGACCTGGTGACTTGCTTTCTCACTTTCCCTTTCTTTCTCTGGTCAAATTAAAACATGGTAATAATAATAAATAAAACTAAATAAAATAATGATCAAAGAGAGTTATTTAATTTTATTTATTTATTATTTAATTTGCTATAGGACACATGCACTTACCAGAGAGAGGCAGAGAGAGGGAAAGTGAGAAATCAAGCCAGCAGGTCTGGGACTGGAACCACAGCTGGCCGTGTGGGAGTCCAGCACCTTAACCACCGTACCACCGACTGGCCCCACTTGCCTATTTCTTTATGAACTATCCATAAGGTTGTCTTCAATTTTTTGTTATTACCAGTACTCTTGCCAAAAAGATATATATGTACCTGTGCAGGAGTGATTCCTGGAGGTAGAACTGCAAAAACGACATTACAACAATGTGTAAAAGCCAGGTGGCCGGGTGGCTAAGGTGGCTGGATCCCAGATGATAGGTTCAAGTCCCTAACATTTTGGCTTGAGAACTACACCTGGTGCGTCTGCCTGAGTGTTCAAAATCCTGAAAGGAGATTGGAAAAGGGGTTGTGGCATGGCCAACCTCCCCACAAGGTGCTTTTTGCCTTTTTTTTCCTCTCTCTCTCTCTCTCTCACACACACACACACATACACACATAAACACATTCTCTTGCCAGTTCATGCACTCTATAGCAAACTAAACACACACATACTAAAGTCAGTAGTTTGAAGGAAGCTCACTGAGTACCAAGAGCAAGAATTAACCAAGCAAGGACTGGTTACAATACAAAAGGGAGTTTGGAGAAGAGGTCTATGCAGATGCAGAGAACATGAGGATAAGCTAATTGATTGCCAGTTGTCATCAGAAAGTGGGAGGGAAAGGACTGACTATTGGAAAATTAGAAGAGGATGAGTCTGAGAGTTAACAAATAATTAGAAATCACCCACCAGGGGAGATGACCACACTGCAATCCCTTCTCCTCCATCCTCCTCCTGGGATTTTGGGCATGCAGACATGCGAACCTAGTTTAAGTTTCCAACCTAGTGTAAGTTTCCAGCCACCAGTGTGGGACTTGATCTGTTGTCACGTGGGAGAGTCCAGCGCCTTAACCACCTGCTGGCCCCGCATTGAACTTTTAAAGCTTTTTCCTAGATAATGGTTCTCAATCTTCAGCGTGCCTCAGAATCACTGTGGAAGGCTGATTAAAACCCAGATTGTTGCCTCCACACCCACTTTTTGAAGTCATGTTGGTCTGAGTAGGACCAAGGTTGCATATCTAGTAAGTTCCCTGGGTATGCTGCCTCGCCTGTCCACTTCAGGTGAATCACTGTTCTAGAGCAGTTGCTCTCAAACTGTCCACAAGGTGGTCTTCACTTTTTAATTATTACCAGTACTCTTGCCAAACAGATGTATGTATCTGGGCAGGAATGACTCCTGGAAGTAGAACTGCCACATCAAAGAACATTAGGACAATGCAATACTGTGATCTTGTTAAATTCAGAGTCTAACTGAGGTTTAATATTCTGCTTTAACAGCCAGCTTCCAGTAATGCTGCTGACATTGACTCTGTGATCTTGATATTCATCAGTAGAGCCAAGGCTGAAAAAGTTGGCCACACTTTTCCTGTGATCACTGACCTTTAAAGACCTCCCTAAAAGCTGAGGGAAGGGGAGAGGGAAAGGAAGGGGCACTCCCATCTGGGAAGCACCACATGCAGCCACGGACTGTTAGGGCAGCGGAGGCCCCTACCGGCTAGAAGAGTGTGATGCGGCTCGTGCACCGCCTGACAGCAGTCGCCCGGCCTCGGGTTCCTGGCCGTCCAACACCTCCAGCTCCAACCACCAACCCCGTGCGCACGTTCGACTTCACCAGCACCAGGGGCTTCTCGGGCTCCAGAGCCCAGAGCAGCCCCATGGGCTCCAGCCCCGCGAAGCTGCGGTCCAGCGCCAGCGCGCGCGCCCGTTCTAGCTCGCCGTGGGCGTGAGCCTGGGCCGGACAGAGCGCGCCCTTCCCGTCGCGCAGGGACGCGCGCAGTGTGACGAGCTTCCCCGGCGCCAAGCCGCTCGGCGATGCGCCCCGACTCTTCCCAGGCGCAGCGGCCCGCGGGCCCCAGGCTCACCCCA